ATAATTTATTATTTAATATGAAACAATAAACATTTGTTGTTAATAATTGTTTATTTTCAAAATCTAATAATTAGATATTCACTTTATTATATTATTAATTAATTAGATAATTAATAAATTCATCTTTATTCTATTTAATTTGATTGATTATTTTATTCTTTTTAATACTTTTTATCTTATTCTTCTTTTTTATTTCTTTATTTTCTTAAATATATTTTTATTCATTTTCATTATTTATTAAATTCTATATCTTATCAATACTCTTTTATATTTAACACTATATTTATTTCATTAATTCATAACACTCTCTTTTTATATATCAATTATTTCTTTTATTATTCTTCTTCTGAAAACTATAATAAATAACACCTTATTCCTTCATTTAACTTCATAACAAATCTAAATATTAATACCATTAATATACTTTCTTATTCTTTCAATTAAAAAGATGTTGTAGAAATAAAAAAGAAACAAATCTAAGACAACACAAATTGTAAAAACTAAAAAGTTGAAGAAATTAGAGTTAAAGGAAATAATAAGAAAGAAAAAGTCTTTGTTTTGTTTGTTGTGTGGCTTTTTATTTGGTTTATTTTAAAAAGAAGAGGTGCTGTTAATCCACAAAAAAATTTAATTAATTTCATACACAAAATCTATTGACAAACACCAGTTTCTGAGAACCAATCACAATCATTTCTTATACAATCATCTTCTGTTGTTCTTGAAGAACAGGTTTTAAAGGTGATTGCTCCACAATAAAACCTGGCAACATCAACACATTTTATGTATACATTAGTTGTAAATGTTGGGAAATTGGTTCTTGCAATTCCTTCAATATAAGGAGCAGTGTCTGAACCCTCAGTAACAGAATAAAATCCTGGAGGTAAATTATCACTGAACTCAAATGAACTTGACCAACAATTCCATGGTAATTGAGAAACAAGTTGTTTAGGGACTTTTTCATTAAGATTTACTGTCAAAGAATAACCAGTTCTATTATCATTAATTGAACAAGTATAGTCAGGTTGAATTAAATATGATACCCCAATTACAATTGCAACGCCAACAAAGAACAGAACCAGTACACTGATAATAATATTAAATGATAAGTTATATTTTGTATTAAACCAAAATGCTAGAGCACATAATGTAAATAATATACAAAGACTTACAAGACAGAGTGTTATTATAGAATTTCCCATAACAATACTCATTCCTACAGTTAATAAACCAATAAATAAAAGGACGTAAGTAAATAAAGTGTTTTCTTTCTTCCAATATAACATTAACTTTCTTTTCTGGACTGTGTATTTTAATTCATTTTTGTTTTGGAATGTACTAAACCATAACGTACAAGTTATTCCCCAACAATAAAACCAGATTCCAGGTAATTTAGGTAAAATAAATATTACTAATCCAGATAGAATACTGAATAATAGTGCTAGTAAAAGTGTTATTATAGCTGGTCCTATAGAGAAGTGAAATGACTCTTCTTCTATAGCAAGAGTTCCAATACCTTTTCTTTTTTCATTTTCTTGAAGTTTCTTACTAATCATTTTAATATTTTCTAAAGCGTCATTTGCTGCTTTTGATAATTCTTTAAAACATTGTGTGGACCCTGTATTACTTTCAGATGCTGCACTGTTAATCTCTTTTAACGCTTCAACTAAAATAGGAATTATACCAATAACATCAACAGATAATCCAAATTCATCTTCATGAACTAATTCTGGACAAACTTCTTGAACTTCTTGTGCTATAAAACCTAAATTTTTTTCATCTTTCCCATTATAGTTAAATGATTTACCTGTTAAATTTAAAATTTTATCAAGACAGCCTTTGAGGGGTTCAATATGTTCTTTTACACGAGCATCAGATCTTTGTAAAAATCCATTTTCAGCTAGTATCTCACCGGCAACATGAAGTCGTTTTAAATTTTCATTAATTTGAACTATACGAATAAAATCATCATGTTGTAATACATCTTTTAATTGATTATCTTCTATTTCATTAGAACCATATTCACAAATATGAAATACAGGAGATAGTTGTTTTTGAAAAGAAAGAGAATGAGATGAATTTTGATATAAAGTAGATTGAGAAGGAAGATTTAGAGATTTGTTTAGTGACGAATTGATTAAATTTTGTAAGGGAGAAGTAGTAATATTATTTTGATTAATTATTGTGTTTATTGCTTCATTAGAAACTGTATTTGCAGATTCAGAATCTAATGAATTAACTAAAAGAGATAATTGTGGATTACCTATACGGGCACGTGCAATAGAACGTTGTTGTTCAATGTCAGTATAATTATTAACTTCAGTCATATAAAGCTCACACTGTCTTTTAGCTTCCAGTCTTTGAGTTAATTTTTTATATACCTGTCCTTTTTCTCCTCCATATATTGGTGATGCAGCTAAATGTCTCAAGTGTGCATCCCATACATGAGAGTAACAATTATAATGTGTTTTAACTGGTTCTTTACATCCAGGGAAAATGCAGAGCCAACTCTTTTTACGTTGTTGAACAGTAGTTTTAGTATCCATGTAAGTATAAAAAAGACTTCCTAAAATAAAATTTTTTTTAGTTTAATTTTTTTGTTTTTTATTATAAATTATATCAATATCCTAATATCCCGTTTTATTACTTCTTAAAGTGTAAAATATTTCCTTTCTAAAGATACTTGTTTTATTTTTTTTAAATAAAAAAATTATTGAAAATGAACGAAATAAATTTTTTTTAAATTATTGCAAAAAACTTAGAACATAAGAATTTTACTAAAAGGAAGAAAAAAAAACATACAAATTCTAATATAAACTAAGAGAGTTTTTAAGAAAAATGAGAAGGTTGAATCATTTGAAAAGAATTTGTGATAAGCAAAAAAAGATCAAAGAAAAAGTTAGTTTTATTAAATACAGTTAAAAAAACAATAAGAAAAGATTAAATTCAAATGAATTATTCTAACTGAATAGTTAGTTGTTGTTCTGAAAGGATAGGAGGTTCATGCGAAAAGTCAGAAGTCAGAGTAAGTTCAGGAAGAGGAATTATTTCATTAAATTTCGAAGTTAAACTAAGAGAGAAGATTGTTTTGATTGTTTTTGAGTGATAAGCATAAATTAAGAAAGGAACAAACATTGAAGGAACAAGATAAAGTAAAGCTGGTTGGCCAACCTTAAAATTCCATAAAACAAATAATGTCAAGATTAAACCAAAACAATAACCGAGCAAAGTTGAAATGAAGTATTTCGTTTTATAAAACAAATCAATACAATAGGCATAGTTAATAAATATACCGGGAAGAATAATATCTCCTAATCCAATTAAAAACTTTCCATCAATGAATTCTATTAATAAAGGAAGTCTCAATGAAGTTGCTGTTTTTGCAGCTTCAACCATTACTGATTTACCACCAAATAATGAAACATTAACTGAACCAAATACCCAAAAGATATCATAAAAGAACATAACAGAAAGAAGAACTAATGGGATATGAATTTTATCAACAAATAGAAACGATTGAATTGCTACTGCAATTCCAATAGCAATAACATTAGAACTCCAACGTGTTTGTGTAAGAAGATAAATAAAAATAATTGTTAATGAAATTAACAAAGATAAACAAATTCTAACTTTTGAAGATAGTAATGGGGCATAATCAAAAATTGGTTGAAGTATTAAATAAAAACAAGAAATTGCAGAAAAAAATACAGATGCATAAATAAAATATTTAGCTGTAGATGGATAAAAGAAAACAAAGATAAGAAATAATGAACCAATAAAAGGAATAATAATTACATGTTTCCATTGTAATTTTGATTGAGAAATAGTATCTAAATGCCAATGAATAAAATAGACTTTAAATTTACAAGATAAGTAATGAATGATTACAGTAAGAGTAATCAACTGAATAAGTTCTAACATAAGAATGATTAACTGTTCATTTTCAGTTAAGACTTTTCTAATGTTTCATATTTTGAGTTATATATTTTATAATATAATTAGTTTTTATTATATAATTTTTACATATGCAAATTATGTTTTTTGTTACCAACAATTTAATGAATTTAAGGAATTACTTTCAAGAGAATATATTACCAAATCGAAAAATCTTTGATACAAAGAACTTGTTAAAATATTTTTGATCTCATAAACTTAGAACAATGTTCAGAAAAAGTGTTTGGACATTTCAATCACAACAATACCTTCATTCTCAACTTCGTACTTCTAAAAGATTAGAAATGCTTGCAAGTAAAAGAACATTAGCTGACTCTATACCAAAAGAAGAAAAAAATTTAACACAAACACTATCTGTAGATAGTATTACTCAATTTAAAAATCTTATTAATTCAAATGTAGAGAGTGATATTCTTCAAGGGTTAAATGGGTTCAGAAAATTACTTTTAATTACACCACCTCCTTTAATTGAAATTTATCAAAGTGGAGTATTGTCTCGTTTATCTCAATTAATTGCAGGAGAAATATCAATTAAAAATTTAGCTGTTGGAATTACTGCATCAATGGCAGCAATTGATAACCCTCAAATTATTGATGAATTTATTCAACTAGGGATAGCTAAACAATACGCTAACATATTATGCTCACAATTTAAATTAAAATTTTTGAATATATTTGAGCAAGCAGCAAATGGAATTGGTAATATTATGGGTTCATCTCCATATTATAGAGATATATGTTTATCTTATGGATTTTTTAATTCATTTTTAAGACTATGTGATCAATTCTTAATCTAAGAACAGAC